AAAAAAAAAAAAAGGAAAAGAAAAAGAAAGGAGAGAGTCAAAGAATCTGGATCACCACCCCTGGATCCAGCGCTGTCTCAGGTCCATTAATCTTGGGTGGTGGGTGCACACCCAGCAAAGTTTCTGTTGCCTTTTAAGTTGATTGTATCAGCTGATTTGCATACTAGATGAGGAGGGGCGGGTATTGCACCAGCTCATTTCCATGAGAGAGGAGGAGAAGGCGGAGCAGGGGTTCTGTGTGTGCGCTGAGGGGCAATGGGGTACATGAACCCTTTTGCCCAGTTGAGTCGGTGGTCGCAATCTCCCCCCACCACCTTGACATTCCCCTCAGGTTTTGTTCCTTGGGCAGTTATAGCTCCATCTGGTCTTGGTGGTTTATCTCTCTTCCCACTCTTTTAGCTCTTCCTCAAGGCTAGAGTCGTAATTTAAGGTGCAGGCCTTACCCTGAACATTTGGTTTTACTCAGTCTACGTCTCCTTCCTTCGAGGTTTATCTGGGGAATGTGGCTGTACAGCTGCAGGGGAGCGGAGCCGTGCACCCTTCGATACCCCCTGCGCTTCCCCGGGCAGATAATTCATCCCTTAGACTGACCACAAAGGCCACGACTCGTCCTTGCTGTTTTCTGTGTCGGTCAATGTTTAAGACGTGAACTCCTTTGTTTCATCAATGCTGAAGGTCAACGCTGCAAGAGACCTTCAGGCAGGACAACATGCAGAAGGCACAGAAGACAGCAAATGTCAGAGCCCAGCATCTCTGCTGCTAAAGATCACCAGTGCCAATGAGAATGAGTGAGGAGGAGGAGGAGGAGGAGGAAGGTGCTTCAGAATTTCAGAGGAGATCTCCAAGATACATGAAACAGATTGATCTATAATTTGATTATTTTTGAGCCAGAAAAATTTATGTATCTCATCAGCTGAGGAACTCCATGCTCTATTTGTACATTGTCCATGTGTTTGGGGATTGTATGCTCCCATCAAACAGCTGAGACCAAAGCTTGGCTGCAGCAGGAAAGAATCCCAGAACCCTTCAGGTTGGAAAAGCCCCTCGGGATCATCGAGTCCAACCCTCAGCCCGACTCTACAAAGTTCTCCCCTACCCCACATCCCCCACAGCTCATCCCAACGGCCCTGAAACCCCCCAGGGATGGGGACTCCCCCCTCCCTGGGCAGCCTCTTCCACTCTCGGACCACTCTTGCTGGGAAACATTTTCTCCTCCTGCCCAGCCTGACCCTCCCCTGGGGCAGTTTCCAGCCGTTCCCTCTTGTCCTGTCCCTGATCCCCTGGGAGCAGAGCCCAGCCCCAGCCTCTCTGCAATGTCCTGTCAGGAGCTGCAGAGAGGGATGAGGGCTCCCCTCAGCCTCCTCCTCCTCACACTGAACACTCCCAGCTCCTTCCCTGCCTCCTCACAGGATTGATTCTCCAGCCCTTCCCCAGCCTCGTTGCCCTCCTCTGCCCTTGCTCCAGCCCCTCCAGATCTCTCTGGGATTGAGGTGCCCAGACCTGGACACAACGCTCCAGGTGTGGCCTCACCAGTGCAGAGCACAGGGGACTGTCACCTCCCTGCTCCTGCTGGTCACACCAGTGCTGACACAAGCCAGGATGCCGTTGGCTTTCTTGCCCACCCAGGCACACTGCTGGCTAAATAATATATGTCAAATAATAATAATTTTTCAAAAAGACAAAACATGCCAAAGAAAGTTGTCCTGAGCACAAAAGCTTGAAGCACACATCCCCTCCTAACCTGAGATTGTTCACATTTACCAGCTCCTCCAAAAAAACAACTCGCAAGTCTGCTGTGGGCTTTAAATGTGGGGCTGTCTTGCAGTAAACTCTGTAGTAAACTGAATTACAACATACAACCACAGGAAGGAGAAGGGAAAAATGAATATAAACACCATCAGATATGAAGAAAATGTATTCTATCGCCCCGTGCTTATGAAGAATGTTTGATCCTGTCATTCAAAAGTTGCTTTTGCTGTTTAACCACACCATGGGAAGCACGTGATGTTTGTGCAGACAGCTGAGACCCCTCCTGCAGTCTCAAATCAGTTTAGTGATTACAAACAACGTTTCTTCTGCATGTTTTAAGGGTAGAGGGAAGAACTGCAGAAGAAAGATTCTTTCTGTGAGTCTATTACACCATCTGGTGCTATCAAAAGCCACAAATCCAAATCGGCAATAAGCTGACGCAGCGCTGTGGTGTGCAAGATCAGGGCACGTTTTTGTAGGGCACTGAGTATTGAAATTGCCATTTGACATCACCCGTGAGAAACTTTCCCAAGCGAATACACGAGGTTCTTTGTTCCATGTACATAAAATAAACAATTTAGCAGGAAGGTCATGAATTGTCCTTTAGCGTTCACCTCTACAAGTCTATTTTATCATCGGGAAGCTAAAAAAAAGACATCTTTGCATTTTATTAAGCAAACACCCCTGAGTAAAGAGGCTGGTATCCGCTGTCTTCTCTCTTGCAAGTAAGCACACAGACACTCAGCATGCCAAAGAACTGAAAGAGAGAGAGAGAGCGTGACAAGAGATTTAGTGTTGCTGCATTTTGTTTCAGGCATCAGGCTCAACACCTATATGTTAATCAGACTCCCTCATCACAGAATTCCTTTCACATTAAAACACACCTAGAAAATACATCTACAGAATGTGATTATTTTTTTTTTTCATTTCAAGTTCCAATAATAGTTGCAGCTCAACTTTTTCTTTCCTGATTGCTGCCATTAATTTACAGATCCACATTCATTCCGAGTTATCTTGCTGTGGGAAAAGGTCCAGTGAAAGCGTGGGATTATTCTGGACTTAAAACGAGTTTTGTAAAATACTGAAGCATATAAAATATGCAAATAAAGATAGTGCAGAATACGCTAAGGCAATCTTTAGAGATGATCACAGGAGAGAGACCCAGATGGGGGGAGTTCATCCCAACTATCAATGGGACGTGTAATGGGAGTGTAGAACTCATCACTTTGATAGAGGGAAAGGAAATGGTGGTAACGACGTTGCTGAGCAACTTAGGCTCATGAGATCAAATGCTGTAAACAATCCTCTCTCTGCTAGGCCCAAAGTTAAGACAGTTTAACTAAGTCAAGCCCCAGTCCTGAAATGACATCTGGACAGATTTTGCTTCTGCACTGAGGTCAGGAGTCGGGTATTAAACCGTAAGTGTTCTGCACTGGCTCAACTTACAGCCCCTCTTTTGTAGACAGCAGATAGTCTAAGAAAAAACACGTTGCTGTTATTAATAGTTCAAATCATTGTCAATAAGGTTACTAATCTTGGAGAGCAGGTACAGGGAACAATGACAGAGCACAAGGCTAAAACTTATAGGTCAAATCTTCACAAAGCTGCGTAGGCATTTCTTGGACGTGCCAACTGCAAGGTGTTTTCCACCAGGGTTTTCAAATCTGGTTTTCACCCAACAAGAGGACCTGTTTTCACATTTCATTTAATTCAATCTTTGAAGTCTATATTGAGTCCCACTGGTTTCATTCCGAGTCATATTTCTAGTCCATTTTGATTCCAGGTCTCCAAGCACAGGACTGTTCACAGACTCACAGAATCATCTAGGTTGGAAAAGACCTTGAAGATCATCCAGTCCAACCATTAAATTATTTGTCAGATTATATCTAAAACCAGCGTTTGATGAGGGATTTTTAAAACCCCAATTAAATACAGAAAAGCTGGTTGTTTTAATAAAGAATTCTAAGGGCCTTTTAGCACACCGAGCTTTTGGTACTTCCTACCAAATGACCAAGATGGATTTTCCATTGACTTGCCACCCCAAATCATCTCCTCACTTATATGATCCCTCCCCTTATCGTCAGGCAGACAAAATGGAGACAGTTGGAAGAAAACAAGTGAGGAACGCAGGACTGGGTCTGCTTCAGAGCCAGAGAAAGGCTGTAGGCTAATAGGACATGGTAGAAGAAAAAGCCCCATGACCCAAGGGCGAACAGTATTCTTTTCTATGAGGGAAGAGATGGAAACATTCACCTTTACAATGGCAAACCCCAGGATTACAAGCATGGCGTAGCTGATAACGCTCTGCAGCCCAGACTCCAGCTCCTCTGCGCAGCCCTGCCATGGGAGAGAGGTGAAAACAAGTTAAAAGACATTAATTCAGCTGGACTCTTTTCCTCCCCAACCCTTCAAAGGAAGCAGGACCCTGTCAAGCCTGTCTAACCAACAACTGCAGACCTGAGGCCTTCCGTTCCTGTCTTCCAGTCCTGATGGCTTGTCGTTCTCCTCTGTCTTGAGGAGAGGCACTGACAAACTGCAATTCACTGGCAATTTGCTGCTTCTCAGTCTCCTCTAGCTCAGGTCACTTAAAGAACTGCCCAAACATCCATGCCAGGAAGACCGGCAATGGTATCTTTAAAAGTAATTTATGAGCTTGTGCCTCATGCCTCAATGTATACAGTTCTCCAGCTTCAGCATGGTCAGTCCTAAAAAAGTCTCCGCCCCCTCTCCAGAGCAGTTTGAACAACTATGAGCCCACACCTACGTTCAGGCCTTCACACGTTGCTGCTATAGCAACACAAAATGGAACAGTTCTCGGCAGATAGACAAAACCAAACATCCAGGTTGGTGCCCCTCCTTCGTCACATGCCCAGGTGGGCAAGAAGGCCAACGGCATCCTGCCTGGTGTCAGCCCTGGCGTGGCCAGCAGGGACAGGGGAGGGATCTGAGCCCTGGGCTCGGCACTGGGGAGGCCGCCCCTCGCTGAGGGGGTTCAGTGTTGGGCCCCTCACCCCAAAAAGGCCATTGAGTGACTCGAGCGTGGGCAGAGAAGGGCAACGGAGCTGGGGCAGGGTCTGGAGCACAGGTCTGCTGGGGAGCGGCTGGGGGAACTGGGGGGGTTCAGTCTGGAGCAGAGGAGGCTGAGGGGAGACCTCCTGGCCCTCTGCAACTCCCTGCC